TCCGCAGCATGGAGAAGCAAGTGCTTGAGTCCTCCGAGGAGCGAACCTTTCAGTACCAAGATTCTCTGCCCTCCCTGCCGGTGCCACCTCTTGATGAGTCTTTAAGTAAATACCTCGATGCAGGTAATGACTTAATACTGTAATAGCAGGGTGATGTGTGCTGTTGTCACCAGGCTAGTCTAAAGATACTTGCAAAATGATTTGTAGAGGCAGCTTGTATCAGCTGGGGAAACTGGGGTGGGGGTGGTGGTGTCCAGACAAATTTAGAGTTCAGAAAATCTTTTTCGCATTGAAACAGGAAACTAATTGCCCAGAGCAACCTGACTACAATTTTCCATTTTATCTCTATTTACCTTTCTTTGAGGGAAAGTGGGAAGGTTAACTTTTTGGTTTGACTTTTCCCCCAAGTTTTTGGCTTTGTGTGGTTCTTCTTTTTCGTAGAACCATAGAATTGTCAGGAAAGACCTTTAAGACCATCAGATCCAGCTGTTAACCTAGCAATGTCAGGTCCACCACTAAACCAAGTCCCTAAGCACCACATCTATGTATCTTCTAAAGACCTCCAGGGATGGTGTTTGTTTTTTAGCTCTGTCAGCTGGTCTAGTGAAAGATATTTCTCCATCTACAAATCTTGTTTTGCATAATAACTACTTCAGTTGTTTATGTTTGCTTAGGATCTTTGTAAAAAAAAAAAAGAAATTAAACCTTTTTCATGCTTAAATGTTCTTTCTCACCAATACTGTTAACTATACAGTAGTAGCAAGAGGCAGTGGTGGGCATTTTTGAATAATTTGACTTGGATAATTTCAGCCTGGAAATGTTGACTATCTAAAGAAGATCACATAGGAGAGGAACCTTGAAAACAGTGTCAATGTGTCTAGCTTTGTTTATAAAGCTGAGATGACTGGTTAGTTCTTTATTGTCATATCAAGCTTTGATGTATTGAGGATGACAAAGATAAATTACCTAGTCCCTTGTGATTACTTTCCTACGTTTCTTTAATAATTTTCAGTACTTGGGGACATTGAGCTTTTTTTCTGGCTTTGCATCTTCCCTTCCTATCTCTAATACAGACGTGCTAACAGAGTAAGATCTGGAGTTCTCTCCTTAGCAGAAACATGTTACACCAAAATTTCCTCTTCACTCAAAATATAAATCCTTAAATTCACTTGAAATTCCCTTTTATTCTGAGTGTAATGGGAGGAGCCTGGTAGACGGTAATAAGTTTTCTTTTCTTATATTTGAAATGCAGATTAAATAAAGTTGTGCTGCAGTAGTGGCAAACCTGCAATAACAGAATTGCCTTTTACAACATAGTTTCATAAAACCAACTAGTCTCTGAGTTAACTCTCTTATGGAGTGATAAAATTTGACAGTGAACTTGTTTGTTCTTGTTTACTGGCCTGTGTTTTTGTAAATAGCTTATCACGTGTCCCTTTTTTTCTTTCATACTGAGCTCACTTCCTACTTACTGTTACGTCCTACTTACTGTTCCTTGTACCTAAGTCATAGGATGACTTTGGTCACCATTGTTAGTTTCCTGGAGATTGGAGGAAGGTTAGTCCAGTATTTGTTGTTCTGCCACAGTCTTCCCTTGTACAGATCACTTGAAGCCAGAGCATGCCGTGCACAATTCTAGACACTAGCTAGGTGATTCTTATTGCTTAAGCTTGTCATTTGTTGAGTCTGTGAAGGAAAGGAGGTCCTTCTGAAGAACAATTCAGGACCTCCAGATGACCCTTCATAGATGTTGTGACTCATTCCTTGGAAAATCCCATCTTTCACTGGTTGAAGGAGGACCCCAGGCACTTAACGTTAGTCAGTGTGCCTGTTACTAAAGCAACTGTTTAAAGCCAGTCAGCTGGAAAAGTTGGACAGAGTATGTCTAGAAGGAGCCTTGTTTAAGGCTTTACAGGAGCTACCTCTGCTTTGAATTCAGAATGACTAATCTTGTTTTGAAGGCAGGCCTTGAGCAGAGAAGGTGGCCAGAGCCATGTTATTTAGCCTTTCAGGTCACTCTAGAGGTTGACTTGAAAACTTGAACTCAACCTGCAAGTATGAAAACCCAAAGTTCCAGCTTTTCAGAAGGTGTCTTTCAGGGGATGCTTCTTGTTCATGGGTGGAGCTGATCCCTTGTGCAGAAAGGAAGCTGAGATCTGTGGGCTTTGAGAGATGGGCAAGATAGAAGTTTCACGGAATTCTAGTGAGAAAGGGGCTTAGTTCTGCACCATCCTAGTAGTGTTGCTTCTACATCAGATCAAATAGTTTTTTTAAGTGGAAAGAGGCTCTTTAGTCACAGAAACGTGTAGCTTGAGAAGTGTTCATCTGGACCAGGTCCCTGCTTAGAGCTATTCCAACTACAGCAGGTTGCTCAGGCCTTGCCTAGCTGGGTTTTGTGTATCTGCAAGGATGGAGATTCCACAGCCTCTCTGGGTAACCTGTTCCAGTGCTTGGTCACTCTCACGATTGTGGGAGGGCAAACAAAAACCAAACCAGCAACAATGGCAAAAAAAACCCCAAAACTTCACATTTTCCATGTCAGAAATTTCCTGTGTTCCAACATGAATCTGTTCTGTCTTGTTCTTTCTCTGCATTTCTGAGAGGAGCTGTACTTTTACCTTTGCTCGGCCTTTCCATTCCGTTCTTGTAGAATGCAGCGAGGCCTTCCTTTTGCATTCTCTTCTTAAGCTGAACTCATTCACTTCTCAGCTTCATCTCATGTGTTCCAGTTCCCTAGCAATCTTAGCCACCACTTTAACAGTTGGACTCAATGATCTTAAACGTTTCTATGAATAGAGACCGGAACCCAGTAATTTTGCTTATTTTCTTTCTTGTGTGCATGCGCATGTTGCTCTGTAATGACTGTAACTTGAATAACAGAGGGCAATCACTCTCTCTCACAATATTGTGTGGTAATAAGGTTGCTCTTTGGGAAACCTGAGTGTTGGACTGCGTTCTGGCTGGAGAGGCTGTCAACTCCAGGTTCCCTGCGTGAATACTGTAAACTGCTAAGGGGTATAGATGGACGGCTCTTTTGCTCCCTTTTTTCACCTGTGTTCACGGCTGGCAGTGTTGCAATTCAAGCTGCCTTTAGATAAGGTCTAGATATATTAGGCACCTCCTGAATGTTCATAGCTGATCATGTATCATGTAGGTGGAGTCATGATAGTGTTGCGGTGGAAATTAAGGAGGTCTCAGTGCAATTTAAACACAAGCACTGCATGATAATGTTTGAGAGGTAATGTTCTGTCTTGCTGCCTAAGGTTGTCAGCATGTATTTAAAAATGCATTTGTAGGTGGCATTTGGCCCTTATTCTCCATCTTTGCCCTGTGAAATAGGAAAAATGTCACTAGGACTTGCATTATACTGCTGTGGAGTAGCATAAGGAGGCCAGGATGGAGCTGAAAATGGATCTTTCTTTTTCACCTTAAGATAGGTAATGCAAAATACTGAAATTCCTTTTATGATTCCTTTTGAAAAGGGATGAGAACTTACACTTAGTGGAAGAGGATCAGCATAGGGAACACTTGAACAGGTTGGACATGAAAGACTTCATGAGACCTGTTGGGATATACCCATGAGTGCTGAGGGAGCTGGGCTTTGTCATTGCAAGACCACTTCTGATAATCTTTGAAAGGTCAAAAATTGGGGAAGGTTCCTGAGGACTGGAAGAAAGCAAGTGTCATCACTGTCTTCAGGAAGAGTGATAAGGAAGATATAGGAAACTACACCTTAATCTCTGGGAAGCCCTGTGAAATAATTGTGGAAACTGTTTTTAAGCACATGAAGGACAAGATGGTGGCTGGAAGTAGGCAGTATGGATCTGTGAAGAGGAAATCATGCTTGACCAACCTGATGGTCTTTTATGATGAGGTCTTGATGGATGAAGGGAGAGCAGTGGTTATTATTTATATAGACTTCAGCAAGGCACATCAAAAGGTGTTTGGTTAAAGGTGTTTGGTTTGGGTCCAGTGTTTGTGTGTTTTTGTTTTTTTTTAATATCTTCAGTAATGACCTGGGTGATGGGACAGGGTGCAAATGATTCAAAGCTGAAAGGGGTGGCTGATACACCAGGTGATTATGCTGCCATCAGAGGAAGCTTCACAGGCTGGAGAAGCAGGCTGGCGGGAGCCTCCTGAAATTCAGCAAACGAGGGGAGATGCCAAGTCATGCACCTGGGGAAGGACATCTCCAGCACAAACTGGGGCTGATGGGCTGGAAAGCTGCTTTGCAGAAAAGCTTCTGGGGTCCTGGTGGACATGAGCCAGCAGTGTGCCCTCACAGCAAGACAGCCTAGGGGTTTTCAGGGCTCCCTTAGAAGGAGTGTTGCCAGCAGGCAGAGAGAGGTGATCCTTCCTCTCTGTTCAGCACTGGGGAGGTCCCATCTGGAGTGCTGTGCCCGGTTGTGAGCTCCCCAGTACAAGCAAGGCAGTGACACGCTGAAGTGAGGCCAGCGAAGGGCAATGAGGGCAATGAAGAGCTTGGATTGATTGTCTGATGCACAAGAAGAGACTGAGAGTGCTCTGGGGGAAGAAAAGGCTCTGAGGGGAGTGGGGATCTTTGCAATCTGTGTAAATACTCGATGAGGAGTAAAGGTGGGAGCCAGACATCACAGTAGTATCCAGTGACAGAACAAGAGGTGATGGGCACAAATTGAAATGCAAGAAATACCTTTTCAATGTAAGAAAACTTTTTGTTGTGAAGGTAGTCAAGCATTGGAACAAATGGCTACCAGAGAGGTTGTAGAGTCTTCATCCTTGGAGATTTCAAACCCCAGCAGAGTCCTGAGCAATCTGCTGTAGCTGACCCTGCTGAGACGAGGTGTTGGACTAGACGACTGCTAGGCCTGTGAAGGGGAAACAAGTACTGGTTGCAGGCAAGCAGTCCTAGTTGCAGCAAGACACAGTAGTAAGGAAGTAAGACTTAAATCTGCAAGGATAGGTAAGTATTTGACACCCAGCTGACTTTGTTAGTCACAAAAGATAGTAACAACAAGGTGATAAAGATATAGTGATGGCTAAAAATTAAACAAGTATCCTTCCTTGTTTCTTAACAGCTGTGAGTAGATCACAGGGTTAGAATTGGCAAGGCAGACAAGAAATTAACTGGCAGTAGTGTCCAGCAGCCTCAGAAATGAATCAGACCTCATTGCGCAGACATTGAATCAGCAGAAATAAATCCACCACTTCTGTTTGCCACTGAATTCACAATCTAAGTATAAAGATAACAGAAAATATGTGATAAACAAGGTGGATGTAAGACAACAGTGACATGTGCCCATAGAGGAACTGACATCAGCTGTGCCTTTTACTGACCATAGATTTCATAGTTAAAAGGTCTTAAGGAGAGTTCAGATTAAAAGAAGGACTAGGTTTGCATTTGTTTACAGAGAACTTTGGCCTATATGATCTGAAAAATCCAAAAGTATTTTAAAATATAAGAATTGGGTAGTGTTAAGTGCCATCAGTGTCATTCAGAGGTAGACATAAGACGGGGACAGTGAATGGGAATTGATGGGCAAAGTACTTGTAGATAGTGAATGGACTTTTGAAAATAAAGGCAAGTAGCTTATGGTTGGTGCAGTAGGGAGGCAGATATGTATGTCTTAATGTATTAATTTACAAACAAAGATCCTCTAAATTTAGTTATTTGCTGAGTTCTGTAGCAGCTGACAGAGTTGCAGAACTCCATACTATTTCCAGCTGCAGTTTTAAATATATTTTAGTTATCTGTTAGGTATTTCAGATTTTCAGCACCTGCTTTCATCTTCTAACATCTGTATTTGTTTAAAATTATGTATTTGTCTTACTAGAATATATTGATCTATTTACAGATTTTTAAAAGGTATTTTCCCTTCAAATAACTCGTTTTTAGAAAAAAAACAAACCAGTTATTTTCATCCACTTCTTTGCCTGTGGATATCTGAAACTTGAACTAAATCTCAGTATGCAGTTTTCTTTAAAATAAAAACACTTTCTTTTTACAGTTAAACCATTTCTAAATCAAGAAGAATATCAAAGAACTGAGGATATAGTTAAAAAGTTTGAAAATGGGATTGGGAATCATCAGAAATTACTGGAAAGAGCTAAAACGAGAAGGAATTGGGTATGTATTTAGATATGTAGGAAATCATAATTAGGTTCATAATATATTGTAGAGAGTCATTCAGCTTTTTAAAAAAAAAAAACTTAGCATCTTCCTTATACCTGCCGCTTAGCCTTATGAACACATTCATTTATATGTGTATGATTTGCTTTTTCAAAGCTGAGTGCCTAAGGAAGTTTACTAACTGAAATGTTAAGTTGTCAACTTTTTGAGGGCTTTATCTGTCAGTCTCTTCTTTCTTCTCTGTCCTCCTTCTTTCTACCTTGCCAAAGGGCGGGGGAGATGGAGAAAAGAAAAAGAAAATGGAATTTGGATTTTTTGGTCTCTGTCTCTTTCTCTTCTGCTGTGTAGTAGCATTTTAAAGTTGTATTGGGATACAAGGGAAGTTGTTACTAAGTGGAATTCATGAGAACTTTGTAAATCTTAACATGACGTGCTCTGGAGTGGGCATTTTCAGATGATGACAGAAAAAGTCTGTCTGTCCCAGATCCTCTCTCCACACAAATCTCATTTCTTTCCATTCTTCATGGAGTAATCTATCTGATAAACTCTTGCAAATGTCAGATGTGGCTGCTGCAAATAAGATGATAAGTATTAGGGGAGAACTATTCATCATAATCTACAGTTTTAATAGTCTTAAGCAGTATTAAATTTTATTTCAAACTTGAAAGTAGAAGAGCTAGATGGGTTATTACCCTCAGCAGTTAGTTTTGAACCGCTGTCCTGACTTCTGTTATACAGGAACTACTACTCAAAATATTTTAAATAAATTTAAATTAAAAGTAAAAAACCAGACAGTTGAAAAGTCAGGTGATTATTAAAGAATTAATGACTAAAACTTAATTATGATGTTAAACGTTTTTCATTTTCAGTTGGAGAACTGGTGGCTGAATGTGGCTTATCTTGATCTTCGCATATCAACGCAAATACACTGTAATATGGGAGGCCCTGGTCCCTATCTTGAGCACTGTTGGCCACCAAAAGTGGGCACTCAGCTAGAAAGAGCAAGTGTAAATATATGGCACACCCTGAAATTCTGGGATCTGCTACGAGCGTAAGACTTCAAGAAAAAAAGATAATTTTATTCTAAATATTAATGACATGTGTATTTTAGTCACAAATATACATTTATGTTCATTGGCATGCATTCTTTGCAGTAAAAGATGGGTTTGTCTTACCTTGATTTACTTGCATAATTATCTCTCTTTAATTCTGGTGTGTTTTGGTTTTTTTTTGTTTTTGTTTTTTTTTACTACAGAGAGAAGGTGGCTATAGAGAGATCTGGGAATGCTGTTCTGGACATGAACCAGTTCCGAATGCTCTTCTGCACTTGCAAAATTCCTGGATTTACTAGAGACTCAATCGTCAACTTTTTTAAAACTGGTAAATAAATGTAAATTAGGGGTGAATACAAGCAAATGACTTTATTAATGGGCTAACAGAGTGGTCATTTTAACCAGGAAATACTTCCTCGGGCACTAAATTACATACTGGTTGTTGAGTCCTTGTATAAGGAAGTGAAGAAGATACCTAATCTGCAGATGCACTCGTTGGACCAATATTTAGACATTGCTAAATACGATAAAAGCAAACTCTTGTTCTAAATTGTATGTTATCAGTCAGATGACTGTAAGAAGTGTGCCAGCACTAAGAATTGAAAAACAGACAAATTGCATGGGTTTTAAATGTGGGTGGATTCCACGTGTCATGCAGACAGAATTTCAGTGTTGTTACTAATTGCATCTTCTTCCATAGAATGCATTTGTTTAGTGTGCTCCCATGCATTCTGTTGGCATGGTTCTCATTTATTTTCTATCATTGTGCTCTTTTTTTGGCTTGGTCAGCTTCTATTTTCAGCCTTTAAAATACTCCATAGTGCTTCCTGAAGCCATTCTTTTAAACTCCCAGCAGTTTTCTGGGGTGCAGGATCAAGGGCTAGAGTAGAAGTGTAACGTTCTCATTCATCCTCCACTAACAAAGACTGTAATATGAGTGGTCAGCTAACTGAAATTGTGGCACCCCTCCCACACACATTCTCCTGCATCCAGAGTTGTTCAGTGGTGTCTCTCTAGATAATCATGAGAGAGAGAAATTCCTGTAAGATGCAGGAATTTAAGAAGAGGGATTGTCTTATTCCATGGAAAATATATAAGGAAATCTCCATACCACAGGATATGACAAGAAAATGCAAATTTGAAGGCAATTTTGAAGGGTTTTATCTTAGCATTGCAGTTGAAGAGGCAGTTTAAATGCCAAAACATAGAAGAAACATTCCAATGGGGGAAGTTTGATGTTCTGTTATGATCACATTTCAATAAACAAAGCCCAGCTAGAAGAGGTGTAGCACAGTGGCTCAGGCTGAGGAAAGTGTGGCCACACTTTTGGGAGTTTTAATGTGTTTTTTGTCAGAGTCTTCTCTAACTTTATTTAGTCTTATTTCCAGATGGATGGATTCAATAAGGCAATGCTATGCAAATGTACCTGGCCTAGTGTGGGCCAGCACCATCTGTGTTTCTGTGTAGTGGCCTTGCTGGCAATAGTGCTCCCTCTTAACAGGTTTGCGGGTGCCAGTCGGGTCTGGTTGATGTGGTTGCGCATCTCAGCTCTTGAGCTGCGTAACTGAAGCTGGTGTCGTGAATCCTCTGACAACCGAAGGACTCAGTCGTTTGCAAAGTGTCCTAGAGGCAGGCTTATAGAAAGCAAACTGGAACAACTCGGGCAGGAGAGGAGTGTTGCTAGGTGAATTGTCAGCAAGCAATGCTCATTTTGGGAGAGGGTGTTCCTGTCAGTGAGAGAGACAAATAAATGACATTTGCTACCAGATATTGGCAATAGCTTTAAGTAGTTCATAGCAGTGAAAGTTATGTACTTCTGTGTATTTTCTCTGATGGTTTTAAAAATGTCTTCAAATTTGCAGTAAGACCATGCAATTTGATTTCAAAAGTTACTCTTTTTGCTTCTTTCCTGTTTTTAACTGTAGGAAGTCTGCCTCATTTTAAACAAAAAATGGGTGTGTAGGACTTGCTGGATGTTTTTACTGTATATGTCACTCACTTTATCCCTGTAGATGAATTTTCATGTTTGTTTGGGTTTTTTTGGTTTTGTTTCATTTCAGAGACTGAAGGTGAATGCCCATCTCACTTAATAGTCCTGTGTCGAGGTCGAGTGTTTGCGTTTGATGCTATGCACGAAGGCAATATGGTGACTCCGCCGGAGATTTTCAGGTTTTCAAACTACCTTGTTTCGAACAAGCTGTCCTATTTAAGATGCATACCAAAGTGTCTTTCGTTTCCTGTCCCCTTCACTACAAAGAGTCAGGTGCATGAGAAGCTACAGCTTTTCCTCTAGCTGAGGGTTCAGATTTGAGTAAACTCTTGTTTAGTGGATAGCAGCTTCGTGCCATGAAGCACGATGATCATGTGCTGCTGTAATACACTCAGAACATCATATGAAAGTGCTGAAGGAAAATGTTTCAGTAGGAAGCATCACTTGTGTGTGAAATTTCTTGGCATGGAATTACTAGAATTATAACTGCCATCATTCCTTTTGGGACCAATTCACATTGGTAACTGTCTTACTGCTAGATGAAGTACTGCTGTCGATATGAATCTACTGCACCTGTGGTCAGCTTTCTCAAAAACAGAGGGGCTGAAGTTCCTGTTAGTGAGTGCAGCGAAGTCTAAAATCACAGTGTACACTGGGTGAGATCCTGTTGGCTACAGGGTGGTACAGCAGCATTTCACTTGCATTTCTTGTCTGTGTGCCAGGCCCGTGACAACCAACTGTGTATGTGGCTCTTTTCAAATTCCCAAGCTGCTGCAAAGGAACAAAGGGAAAGGATTTGTTTCTTCAGGTGATCAGTTTCAGCACTAGGGCAACTGGCTATTCTGAAAGGTTTTACGTGCTGTATCTCCAATCTCACAGTAGCATGTGGGTGTTCTGGCTTTCTTCAGATTGTCGATACAGTTGTAGCCACAGGGGATTCTGATCTGTTTGTTGAGCTCCGATGTTGCATACGGAGATAGTTTCAGCAGAAGTCTCTTGTGATTGATTTGAGATCTATATACACCTACTTATTAAAGAGGCATTGTGCATTTCATCTAGGAATAACTTCATTTTTCAAGCTGCTGCTCATAGAACACAAGATGGGAGTCTTGTTTTTGACTTTTCGACAATTGCGTAACTGTGGTTAGTAGTGAAGTCTAATGGGGAAGAGAGCCAGAACGAAGGACGAGCCGGATTAAATGCCTGTAATTTGTGCAGTTTCTTTAACACTAGAACAGCATGTGAAAAACTGAATTTGCAAACTAAAAATTAGCTCTCTGTTAAGAGCTTTTCAAAGGGAAAATGCAAAGAAGAGGTAGGAAGAGAAATACTCTTGTGTAGTTCAGTCTCTACATTTAGGATGTGCTGTAGCTGCTGTTCTGCTTTAAATTTCAAGGTTTATCTTGAGTGGAAATTTTGCCCTTTAATCTGATTAGTTGCTACAAAAACTGGAAAGCTGCAGTATTGCAGAAGTCTGCCTCTCACAACAGTTTGATCTGCACTCCTGAAGTTTTAAATTAAGTATTAGGACCATGATTGCTTACGCATAAGCTTGTACTGGACTGCAATTTGAATTAACTGTTAGTGACTGAAAACAGCACAGGTCTTCCACTGCTCATGGAGTCTGAGGGAGCCAAGGCCTGCTTCCTGAAAATTCACATTAGCTTGAGAACATGGAACGAAAATTCCAGTTTGAAAAGGGTGATTTTTATCTTATCTTCATATGCTCTTTAACGTCAATTTTTGAAATCTTCTTAAAGGCAACTTACGTATATCCAGAAAAGATGCCATAGTGAACCGGATGGACCAGGACTGGCAGCTCTAACAAGCAATGAAAGGACAAAATGGGCAGAGGTGGGAATATTTTAACAGCTGATTCCTGAGGAAAGCATTGTAGTCCCTGGAAATGCATGATTTCTTAGCTTTTGTCTTTTTCTGCTTTCTAGTTACGTGAATATTTGATTAATCTTGATCCAAAGAATTTAACTCTTCTGGAAAAGGTTCAGAGAAGTTTGTTTGTGGTCTGCCTCGATGACTCTAGTCCCTACGCAACTCCTGAGGACTACACCGAGGTAGCTAATAATTCACTTCTGGTCTCCTTTATGTGAAAACTTCTTCTACGGACATGCAGAACTAGCACGTCTTGCTCTTTCAGAACAGAGAAAATAAAGCAGATAAATATGCAACGAATGCTCCTTATTGATCGGCAGGAATACGTAAAAAGTTTGAATTGTTAGGACATTGGAAGTGACAACGTCCAAAATCTAACTTCCTAACCTTTTAGCCTTCTATCCTTCAGGATCCTCCAAAATGTAGTCATCAATTTGTTATTCCTCTTCAATTTAAAAAAAAACCCAACAAAACAACTTAGACTTATAATTGTGTTTCATCTTCAACTAGATGCAAATGTCTTATCTCTCGGGCAGGTCTCACTATTGTAATGTAGGCTTAGTTTAGCTGACAGGTTGGCAGTGAACTTGGTGTTTGTTTTTATTAAACCGCATGATATGTAACTTCTGCTTTAGCTTACAAGGCTGGGACTAGCCGGTGATCCAACTGTACGCTGGGGAGATAAATCCTACAACAGCATATTCTTCTCCAATGGAATCTGTAGCGCGTTCTGTGATGTAAGTTGATGTCCTCCTTCCCCCCGCCTCAATACACTGTTCAAGTATTTATTTGCGAAGTTTTCCCTTTCCGAGTGCCATTGTAAATGCTTAATGTGTTTCTCTGTAGTATAGCCTTGTTTACCAGGCACCTTGTCTAGAAAGCTTCCAAAAGCAGTCTGCTTTCAGTGTTTCATATTACACCATACTTGAATTAACAACATGAGATCTGAAATCATAATCTTATCTCTAAAACTATTTAATGAGGGAGTTCCAAAGACAGAAAATGCATTGCATAAGAAAGCTTAAAATTAACTCTTGTTATGATGTAGCTATTTGAACAACGGTGTTTTTTAAACTTGGATTTATTTATTTTCTTTTAAAAACTTGTTATTGGAGGGCCAAAAGGGCCTGTATCTTGCCTGAAATCTGCTTTTCCTCAGCAGCAGTGTATTGTGCCTCCTTGTCTGGCTGCAGAGCAGTCAAAGCAGCAGGCGGACTTTATAGTAGTTTTGTATGTATTGTAGAACTAGAAAAACAAGTCCAGCGCTGTGCAGTAAAGTTGTTGGTCTGCAGGGAAAGAGTAGGGTAGGCAAAAAGCAGTCTGATCCTCTTGTAGTTATGCAAATAACATGATATCTTGTCTTATGATTCTAGCATTCTCCTTTTGATGCCATGGCGTTGATTACCATGTTAGCTTACACTGAAAAGACGATTATTGAAAATGAGGGAAAATGGAAGGTATCTATCCTTTAAACTTTCAAGTTCATTAATTAGCATGTGTTTTCTTATGGATAACATTTTTCTGTTTTCTCTTCTTTCTGTCCACATCTTCCTAGGGATCAGATAAAGTGAGGGATATTCCATGGCCAGAGGAACTTGTATTCACAGTGGATCAAAAAGTCATAAGTGAAATTGGACGTACTAAAGAAATATATTACAAAAAGGTGAATTTTTTTTTCTGCTTCTCTTAATTGTCATGATATATTTTTATTTTATTTTCATTCTGTTTGCAGATTTTTAGCTGTTCTTTCTCCATGCTTAAGAACAGGGATGAATATGTTGTTGATAAATTGGTAAATTGGAGGACTTATGATTGAATTTGTTACATTGTTGGTTTATGTTGAGAGTCTTAATTTGAAGTGGACCAGGTTGCAATGCTTATTGACTTCTATGGCTTTTCCTCCTTTGGTATGCCAGGTGTCTGACTTGCAGCTAGTGCATTATGCCTTCACATCGTTCGGCAAAGCATTGCTTAGAACGAAGAAACTTCATCCAGACACGTTTGTGCAGCTTGCCCTTCAGCTTGCTTATTACAAATGCCATGGACGGTAAGAAAATCTCATTATCCAGATTTGGAATTAAAAAAACCCCTAGCTTCTTGAGTAAAGGGGTGGATCTAGAGATGTAATGCAGTGTCCTTGCAATGCCAATGTGTAATTTGCTATGGTGATGTAAGAACTAAATCATAAAGTTGTCTTAAGTAACATTTGCACAGGGCCTTTTTTTGTGCCATTGAAATCCACGGGACTTGTGCTCTTGACTCCAGAAGTTGTGTCCTCCTGCCCATAGGAACCCTGCAGGTACATGTCATGGAATAGGGAGCAAAAGACAGGTTGTGAAAATGTGGATTTTAGTAGAAAGTAAACATCTGGGCAAATACCAAATGTGTAATGGTTCAAGAATCTTTAATGTCACATAGTTGCTTAGATGGAGAAGAGTGGAGAAGAAAGATGGAGAAAGCTTTATCTGTAGCTAGTGACAGCCATCAGTAAAATGATTTGTTTTTCAAGCCTGTAAAAAGCCTTGCAAACCTCAGTATCTCACTTTGCTTAGCAATATCAGACATGAAGGTTTGGACAGAATAATAGAGGTGTAGATAGTGACCCTCCAAATGCCTGGCTCTGCATTCTTGGGTGTATCGTTTTAGTTTGTATTACTGGTAGCATTCTTCCTGGTACTGGTCTTCCCAAATTCCTGTTTGCTGCCTGGCACTGACTGTGGCTTGTATAAGTCATTACTGGCCTGGCGAGTATTGCTTGCTTTGGAAAAAGGAGGGGTTTGTCATATCAGCATTATGCTTAGTCACTGGTGATTTGTATCTCGTCCTAAGAAAGGTTGGTAGATCTTGGTTTGCTGAACATTGGAATGAATTGTCTGAATGAAATAGCCTGTTAGGTCTGCTCTAGACACAAAGGTATGTTTTGTGTAAGTTGTATATTGAGTGGTAGACTGTCATAGGGCTAGGGATGCTTCATCTAAAACCTGGGTGGGTTTCAGTATGCAACAGAGAAGGATTTGAGCCTTTTCCTTATAAGTGCATTTGGGCACATTGTTTATTTCAAGTGGCTCCCTTAATTTTTGAGGTTTTGGGTGGTGTAGATGGTTTGTTTAATAGAAGTGTATAGTGAAACTGAAGCTTGCGTAATTTCAGCTTCCTTATACTAGAGGCTGGTAGATTTGTAGTCTGCAGAAAATAGCCATGACAACCCAGTCTTTTCAAGGTATGATTATAGCACTGGCACTTTTTCGGTCATCCTGTCTCATGAAAACTTGTAGAGTGTGGCTGTTTTTCAGACACACAATTTAAAGAAAATCAGTGGCTTACTGATCCTTGTAGTTGAGATAGATGTATAAGATACTTGACAGGGCTTTTTTTATTCCTTGAGGAAATACTTTTGTCAAGTTGGTGACATACTCTTCCCTAATTTTTCTTCTCAGCCCGGGCTGCTGTTACGAAACTGCCATGACCAGGCGTTTCTATCATGGCCGCACAGAGACCATAAGATCATGTACTGTGGAAGCAGTGGAATGGTGCAAGTCCATGCTGGATCCTTCTGATGGTGTAAATACTGAAATCCTACTTTAATGCATTTAGAAGGCCTGTTATTTGAGCTGCTTAAAACTTGTTTTTCTGTTGTCTCATTAATGGGAGTTGGCCTGTTTCCCGTGAGATAGATTTCAAATGTTGGGTTGCTTGGAGTCTGGCTCTGGTCATTATAACTGAGGTGAGCTGTCATGTGTGGGCTTCTTTGGTTTTCTGTCCTATTTACCTCTTGGTTTCTTGAATGTGAGTGTCTTGACTTTACATTCATACTTTTTTTTCTTCTTCTCCTCTCTTTTTTTTCACACCTGAAAAAGTAACTGAGTTGGAAGCAATGTATTCTACTGTGGAGTGGTTCTATTGTTTTAATTTTTAAGTGAAATCAGGAAATGTCAATCTAATCGTTGATTCTTAAGAGCAAGATTAAAATCTGTCTGTGTCCTAGTGGCGACAGGACTGGATTCCAGAGTTTGTCTCTGAATAGCTGAACCAGTGACCTTTTCCTTTCCCAGCAACTACCCTCTGGTGCTTGGCTGGCAGAGCATGTCACGCCTTTCTTGCCAAGAGAGAGCTGGGCTAAAGTTCTTTCTGTTGTCCTCACTGCGCGTTTCTCGGCGGCTGACAAATGAAGCAAGGAGATTTTTTTTTTTTGAGACGAAGGGCTATGTAGGAAATTCAAAGGTTCTGTATTATTAATTCATCGAGAAACATACAGGAATATGGCTGTCAGCAAATATGTGTGATTGGTAATTATAAACTTTGAGAGTGTATTTTTCTGGGCTTCACTGACTTCTTTTGACATGTGCTGCAGCTTTAAAACTCAATTTTCTGGCATTCAGGTCTAATTTTGTATTGCAAATACGAATTCCTGTTATTTCCCTACTCTTCAGTAATTCAGCCAATTGTCAGCCTTCTGTGAGTAACACGCACCGAGGTTTATTACTTCTGGCACTAACTGTAACCTTTTACTTTTTCTCATTTAAGTTTTAAGTTGCAGCTCCAAATATGTTCCTGTTGCCTTTTTTTTTTTTTTTTCTTTCTGTGATGAGCTCTTGGGACTTAAAAACCATTGAATTTGTTCAATAGTATTGAAATTAATGTGCATAAAAGTCTACTTTTAAGGTAGGTAATAGAAAATACCTAAAGTTAGATACTTCAGGAAAATAAATCCTTTTGCCTCAACTTTTCTTTTATCACTTGTGAGCTTAGTAGCTTAATTTTTATTAAAATTGAGTGGCTACTGCCTTTGTTTCACATTTCGGCTGCAGCTTCCTGTGTTACGAATAAAAGGTTAAAGGGTGGTGCCTAAAAAGAGCTCATCATCTAAGATCTTAGAAATCGGTTTGGAGGGACCTTCAGTGATCACCTGGTCCAACTGCCTGAGCAGTTCGGGGCATGGTGGTTCTGTAAACGCAGCTGCACCTGCTGAAAGGTGGTTTGCTTCTAAATAAGGGGTGTTGTAGAAAGATTTTGATTTTGATTCCTCTATTTCACAGTGGCTGCTTTCCATTGTTTCAACTTCTTTGAGAAAGAGCCTGAAATTTAGAATGTTGCTCAGTGCAAAAGTGATCGGAGTAATAGAACAGAGGTACAGGAAACAAATAAACAAGTTCTCCTGAACGTGGAATTTGGATCTCGGAGAAAAAGTTTGAGAGTGGTTCTAGTGTACATTTTGAAGTTTTCTCTTACTCTCTATTGAAAATTTCTAGAAACTGTAAAGGCGGAGATCTTGCTCGTCTGTGATTCCTCCTGTGTTACTCATTTGGATTGTTTTTTCTTTTTTCTTTTTTCTTTTTTTTTTAAATCTCATCTCCCCTACTTTACACAGATATATCAACGACTACAGCTGATGCATAAGGCATTTGCAAAACACAATAAAATGAGGAAAGAATGTGAGAATGGAAAAGGTACTCTGAGAGCAGAAATGCATTTTTTTATTTTTCTTGTGGGTGAAAAGGGAATGTTGCTGTATGCTCATATGTCTTCTCTGTCTCATTGTTTTCAACCTGAATAAAAATATTGTATTCTTTTAATTTTGGACAGAGGAACTAAAACCTTGTGCCTCAAAGACATGTTCACTTTGAATATTAATTCACTTTTTCTACTCATCTAAGCATTACTTCAGAATACCTTCTGATCACATAATATACTTGGCTGGAAAGTGGAAAATGCAGTTCTTCTTAAGGCACAGGAGAGATTTGGGTGAAAATCTAACCCACCTGTGTTGGGATGGGTTCTATAAATGAGAGAGTAGCTGGAAAGTAATCTCCTGATGAACCTTCACACTCTCTCCATCTTTCTTGGTGAGTTGTGTAGGCAGTTGTGGCTCTGAAAGCATTTTCTCCTTGTCCTTGCCAGTGGACCAGTTTCGCTGTGTGGAACTACTCAATGGAAGGTTTATTTCTGCAATGGAAGGTTTATTTCTGTTTTCCACAGAAACAGTGCTGGATCTGGATTACTTAATTCACTTGCATTTGGGCTCGGTGTTGCAAGCTGAAAATGATGAAGGCCTCTTAGACCAAATACCTGGGAAATGTTTTTGTGCGCTACAGTATGAATCTCATTTGATACTAGGCTTGGTCTTTTATCCTTCAGCTGCTATTTGAGCTTCCAGCTATCCAGACTAGTAGAAGCAGAAAACTGGGACATGCTGCTGTTAACGATGCAATATTTGCATTTATTTGACAGGCTTTGATCGTCATCTTCTGGGTCTCCTACTCATAGCACAGGAGCAAGGACTGCCAGTGCCAGAACTTTATGTGGATAAAGCCTTCACAGCTAGGTAGGTTGTGTTCTTGTCCTACGGGTAGGTTGTATCCTGTGAGTCAGAGAACTTGGTTACATTGGCCATATGCATGCAGATCTCTAGGAGAAAATAACCTTTTTGTAAAACTCGCCTCGTTTTAAATTATCTTAAAAGTACTGCTTTTGTTTTGCACTGTCTTACAGTGGAGGAGGTGGGAATTTTGTTCTTTCAACTAGTCTGACTGGCTACACTAGATTTAGTGGATCTACACTCCCTATGGTAGAGCACGGCTATGGCTTCTTTTATTCAATCAGAGATGACAGGTAAGTATATAATTTCATTTTGGGTATGGTTTTATCTCTATCACAAAGGGAAAAGCAGCTAACAACTAGAATGGGAAAAGACAGAAGGGCTGAACCTGTCAGAAAAGATTGAGAGGTGAGGTGCATGGGGAGGAAGGACAAATGGTGGAGGCAAAGCGAGTACCCAAGTACTGACGAGCAGAAACAAAAGAGTGGGGAACCTGAAAAAAGGGGGAGGAACAAAAGAACCTAACTTTACATTAAATGATCTCTAAATCTTATTTTAACCTGCAAAGCAGCTTTGTAAAAGTAGTGATTGACTGAGACAGATGAGACGAAGCACAGGTGAGCAGACTGTCTGTCGTTCTTCATGGAGACACACACACCTCTTCACCCAACCCAAACCTCTCTGAGTAACAAGGAGAAGCTAAAACATTTGGCCTCACTTCTCAAAAAACGGCTTAATGGTCTTATGGGCAAAAATTATTGCTTTCTTATCAAATCTAATAAGCTACTTTAATGTGTTGAGATAACTTGCTGTTTTGTGATTTAGGTGTAATTTGGGTGACTTCTTCCTAGAGCTTGATATGAATTGTGTGAGGTTTGCTTGAAAATACAAACCATTTATACTTTGATCTTTATTTCTGCTCAGGTAACTAGAACCAGATAAAAGTCCTTCAAACCTTAAATTAGTAGCAGAGAAGAAATATAATGCACAGTGTTTTCAAATATAAGCAGGAAAGCTATGTCAATGTGTATGTAGTAATGGGTATGTAAATCAAAGTATCTGGTTTCAAGATCTGGCAACATCATTGCTTTCTGAGGGCACTTGGGGATCCAAGTACTTTTTGAATATTGAGACAGTATGTTTACGTGGCAATTCTTGCTTCAGAATTTGTCAATAATGCCACACTTCAGGGCAATTTGTGTTACTTTTATATATATATATATAGTGGAGAGTGACAACTTCATGTTTTCTGTATTCCTAGGATCGTTATTACCTGTTCTTCTTGGAAATCATGTCCAGAGACTGATGCAGAAGTGTTATGTAGAACTGTGTTTCAGTGTTTCCGGGACATGCTACAATTAACTGTTGCAGCTCAGCTGTAAAGTTGATACCTGTGTAAACGCCTTTCAAGCTCATGAGTTATACGTAGTACTTATAAATGAAATGCTATTCAAGAGTACTGTTATGTTCCAGTTAAGACATTTAATGATCTTTGTGAAGCCTGCCTATTTTTATGGGATTTATTGTGGTAACAGTATCTGTTTAAAAGTAATGTAGCCATTTGCAACAACAATGCAAGCAGTAGTACCTTATCTGTGTAGAACTATGCAATATTCGAATATGCCTCAACAATGCAAACATACTTGAGAGATGGGATGATGGAAGTGGAGAATTTATGGGGAATTTCTATTTATGATCTTAGCAGTAACGCATGGAATACTTTGTAGTCTACTGATGCTGTTTATGCCAGTGATGCACTTAACTGTATACTTATCCTCTTGGGTGATTATGCTTCCTGTGCATAGTGGTTTATGAAGTAGAAGGGCTGCCTCCATCAGGCTATATGTTTTTTTATAAAATACCTTTCACTACTGCTCTCTGGATTTATAACAAATAAATGTTGTATCCATGAATGAGGATGTTCCCACTACATTTGTAGTATGAGACCACTACAGTCTGAAGTATTTTGAAAAAGGTCTTCTTGATAATAAAGACATAAAGCAGTGTATGAGTTCTAAATTCCTCAGAGTTTTCATCTTCTAGTGAACTGTGAATGTTTGCTGCTTTACACTAGTAGTACAAAATAAAAGTAAGCACTGTATGCAGTTTGATACAAATCTCAGGATTTTAAGAGTTTATTCCTCTGTTTGAGCAGTTTTGTATTTTTCCTGTCATAGAAATAAAATTCTTCTAGAATCACCTTTGTATTGACTAATTTATGAGTGGTCTGTTAAATGTGTAGCAGCTAAACTTTGTGAAAGGGCAATGATCTTGGGGACAGATTAACTTGAAATAGAGATTCTAAAGTACCTGTTTTTTCTTTAGGTTTTTTTTTTAATTTGGAGGTAGTTTGCACACTTGTTTTACAGAAACAACTGCATCCTCAGCTAATGTTGAACCAGTCTCTTTGGCTGCTGGAAGCTCTGTTGAATATATTTTTTCCACAGTAGCAAGAACAGAGCTTCCCTTTTAATTTCCTTCCTTAAAGCCTTGATGCTTCCCTGCGTAACAGGCCACAGTATGTTATATTGTGTCTTGTTTCCTTAGAAAAGAGTCTCATTGTTTCAGCCGGAGTCTTCTCTGCCTTTATTGGGCTACTTGTATGTCCTGTCTCAATTAAATCTGACAATGAATCATTGTTTAATGTTTGATTCTAGGTCTTCCAGAACTTTTAAGAGTAAGAATCTGCTCCTGTTCTGGAGTGCTTATAATAGCCCACTCTCTTTCTTGGAGGTAATGACTTTCTGAAATCTCTTGGTTAATGAAGCACATGTCTTTAGGATACTGTGATTTCTGAGATAGATTTAAGATTTTGGATCAAGCTATGCCTGATGATTTTTATTTGGGGTTTTGAGGGGTTTTTTTTTTGAGTTCTGTCTGACAGTTATAACCTTTCACCCTGCATTTGCCTAAGTAAACCTGGTTGCGACAGTGATGAGGACAGTTTACTCTGAACACTCATTTGTTTCTAGATTTCTGGATTTCTGGGTTTCTGGAACATAGAAATCCTGGCAAGAAATACAGGAAAAGGAAAACTATTTCGCCAAGTGTGTAATCAAGAAAGTGTCATTCAGTCACCAGCATAAGCAGAATTTTCTCTTCAACTGGAACAGTTTGTGCCTTGCTTAGAGGAACTGGAGACAGCCATGTATCCAGAGAGAACAAAATTAAATTCTGAGTTGTTAAGAGATACTTGTTATGTGCTGTGGATCCATGACTATGTAAGGGGTAACGTTATTGATGCAAAGTTGGTCTAAACTTATGCTCCTTGGGCCATGTGGTACTAAAGCCCAGAGTGTTAAACAGTTATTTTTTTTTGCCTGTGGATTTGGGAAAATGTGTGATTGGTGCAGAACCTGCATAATGCAGTAGGGGCTCTGCTTTCAGGTCAGGGTGGCTAAGCTGTGCAGTCCTATGGTCACAAGACAGTCAGCATTTCCTTTGAAGACCCCGAGACTAAAGCAGCGTGTTGCAGGAATTGGCTGCAGCCATTAGTGCGTTAGCAAACCTAGAACTGGAGCCAGGTTTCTGCATGAGTGGGACTGAGCCAGTTGACAATCCCAGCAGGTTTTCTTTTTCCTCTGTGTTGCACATGCATTTGTTTAGAAACAGTTGTACCTGGAACGGTGCTTTGGGCCCATCCGTGTTGAGGAACGTATCGCTAGCTACCTTCCCCCTGTCTCTGGGTGCTGGCGTCTTTGTGTGTAGGCTGCCATAACTTGTGCCATAACTGACACGTGTCACTCACCTGAGCTTAGAGAGAATGCAAAGTACGCATATAGTTACAATCAGCCAGGAAAAAAACAACCCCTGAAACTTGAACAGATGAATGAGCTCTCAGCCGTTTTTCACTAGTGCTCTACGTAAGAGCTTGCTGCTGTCCCTCGGCTGGATGCTGTTCGTTTCCCTAACCTGAGCAGACCAGCCTGTGCTGTCTCCAGTGCCTCTGCCCTCAAACCCTCTCTCCAGTTTTGTACACACATCCCTTTACTTTGAGCACCCCTGCTGGGTGCTACAGAGCTGATCTCTGTGCCTGGAGGACAGGAGGGACTCCCAGAGTCCGTTGTTTTGCAGTTTGGTAAGTTAGCGGCGCTTTTCGTGACTTCCGTGTGATCTTTAGTTTAAGCAACTATGAATGTGTGCTGGTAGAAGAGGTTTGGGTTCTTAAAGCAAATGTGCCTCAGTTATTTATTAGTTATGAGGTTTAAGGAAACTATTTACAGAATTTTACCAAAACCAGTAGTGGTCAAGCATCCTTAGTAGTCTCAAGCAAAAGACTGAGCCAGCTGTACGTCAGCAAGAGGTACTGTCCACTGTCACATGTTGCTTGACCCACTTTGAACATTGACCAGAGCATAGTAGATGCCTTTTTGAGCCAGGAGCTGCTGATGGGTCCCTTGTTCTATGACCTTGCCATTCTGGATCACGGCAATCTTGTCAGCGTTTTGGATGGTGGAGAGGCGGTGAGCTATCACGATGCAGGTGCGACCTTCCCTGGCTTTATCCAGAGCTTCCTGGACGATCTGTGCAAAGAACCAAACAAGAGGTGAATTAAAAATAACTACAGCAGCTCTTTCCACCTGTGGTGCCCCTAGTCTCTTGTCCATTAAGCTACCTGTGCTAGAGCAATGACAGAGGTGAAAAACTGTTACCCCTGCTGGCTGTTTCAGATCCCTGTTTGTTCACCTGGGATGGGAGACAGATGGTACTTGCTGGAGTGTGTGCATTCATGTTTTCACTCGTTCCAGAAGTCAAGTCAGGCACAGACTTCTCCAGTGTCGCAGCCTGGCCTTTCCTTATCTGCCGCAGGCAGGTCACGGTTGGTCAGTTTTAGAAATTGTCCCCGACAAATTGGTCTGGCTCCTTTGACCATGTGTTTTCTCACTCATTTTCAGCAACATGGAAAACTGCTCCAAATTTCAGTCCCACTAAGACCCCAAATAGTTCCATTATCAAATCCTGGTATAATCAAATAACAAGGTGGATCTAGTTTCTAAACATTAAGTGTGGAGTACTTAATACACACACTTTTAAAACAACCTTTTCTCCTCTTTTTATTTTTTAAATACTTTAAAGGTTAAAAATTCTTTATTGTAACCTGATGTTCTGGGCTCTGTGGCCACAAAAATGCCAAATGCTGCAAGAAAATTATCTTGCAAATTGGTAATAGTGAATTGCTTTTGGGATCAGAGGTGGTTACTTTTTTTTAATGCTTGTTTGCTTTTTTTAAAAAAAATAAAAAAAGAGCCTCCTGTTGGTGTGACCAGCCAACTTTCAAATCCCCATTCCTGTTTGGAAAGCCAAGGTACCTTTTCGCTTTCTGTATCCAGCGCAGAAGTGGCTTCATCTAACAGCAGGATGTGGGGCTTACGTACAAGAGCTCGGGCAATAGCGATACGTTGCTTCTGACCACCGGAGAGCTGCGTTCCTTTGTCCCCCACACGTGTGTTGTACTTCTAGATACAGAAAGTAAACAAAAGTGTAATCATGGATTTGGAACCTAGTCCTGTGGAGCATGACATTTTTGCTGCATTTCCACTGCGTGAAGAGCCTGCGGCAGCCCCTTTCCCAGTCACTGGGACAAGTGTGGGTCAGGAGCTCATATACAGTAGCTGAGCTGAGAAACACATTTCTGAGGGTATTTAACTGCAAAGCAACCCCCATGATGCTGAATGAGAGCAGTGTTGTATGTTTTGGGGTAGGGGACCAAGGTGCAGAGAAGCTGAGTGCAGGGTGCAAGAGGAAGGTTGTGACATTGCAGGGAGTCAACTCAAGACTCGATTTAGCAGGGAGCAGCCTGACCAGTCAGCTTTTCCTTCACCACCCTGGTTCTCCATAAGAAGAAAAATCAGAGAGACACTGAGAGTGATTTAGGATGAATGGGAAGCCAGTCAAATTCAAAATCTCATCTGCCTCACACTCTGTTTTACAGCTGACACAAATTTCCTCAAGAAATTTGATGCCAGCTCTTTGTTACCTGCTCTGCGAACAAATATACATCTTGCATCTAAGGGATGAGGTTTTGCAGGGAAAACCCACGGACCTCCTAAGCCTACAGGAATTTAGTGACTGAGAAATATTTGTCCTAGCCCATATTTTCCACAAGAGGAAGCTGACAAGCAGGTGTTAGCTTCAGCTAATCAGTTCAAGCAGCAGGTAGCAAGAGCCTTTGCTTGCATTTGTCCATTAGCAACTGCTCAGTAGGATGTGAGTAGATCAACTTCTGGGTTGTTTTTTTTTGTCCTTAATGTAATTATTCACAACCAGTGTAGAAAAACTGAAACTGCTTTTCCCTGCAAGGTTTTCAGCAAAAAGATCCACTGTACCAGAGACTCAGCTTATCTCATGAGGTGCAGCCAGGATGTAACAACAGGTATCAACTGGGAAAGGGAGAGAAGGAAGCATGAACAAGGTGGTGGGTTTCTGCCTCGTTTTCCAAAAGCCAGCTCTGTGTGTGATGTTAAACACTGGGCTAAAGAGGTGTTGAAAAAAGAAGGGAGAGGCTAGTGCTCCTTGGGCTGCATTAGCACTTTCCTGTTGCTTTCACTTAACTGGAGAGAAGTACTCAGCTTCTTTCTGAGTACTTCAGCATGTCTGTTGCTCCATGCTCTTCCATCTAGAATGACTTCCTGAGTACCAACAACACCCAGGTTATTTTATTAACAGACATTTCGCTTGCAGAGGTGAAGACCCCTGCCATTCAGGCATTTGCAGCAGTGGGATTGAGTAAATGCCTGCAGCCACTGTCACTTCCAGTGACAGCTCTTTTTTTGTCTTTTGGATCTTCTGGGGTGGAACATCCCTACCCCTCACGATTTCAATGTCTACTTCAGTAAGTCAAAGAAACATAAATGCTTTTAACTGGTATTTACTTAAGAAAGCTTAAATAGGCACTGTTTTTTTTATTTACCTGGTTGCAAGTTGAAAATGAGAGCCTAATTACCTGTGGTAGCGATTCAATGAAGGAATGAATATTGGCTTCTTTTGCTGCACTGACAATCTCCTCACATGACACCTGCCGACTGTTATCTCCATAGGCGATGTTTTCAGCAATGGTGCAGTCAAACAGGATCGGCTCTTGTGAGACGATACCAATCTGAGTTCTCAGCCACTGGATATTTATTGTCTTTACATTTTGGCCATCCAGGAGCTAAAAAGTCAGAAATAATATATTTTAATCATAGTACTTTGTAGATGGTTTGGTTTTGTTTGTGGTGGGTTTTTTCTTCTTTTCAAATTGAGTGACATTAAGGCTTTTAGCAGACAGGGCCATTTTATGTCCTGAGTCTATCAACTTAGGCACTTATGCATGGCAGCAGAGATGGGGAGGTGAGTGTTAAAGCCTAGTTATGTTTGCAATCAATGCAATAACATCAGTTGTCTCTGTGAACCTTGAAAAATCCCAGCTGTGTGAGGCTATTGTATTACAGCTCACTTGTTTATTACCCTAATGAAAAGAGCCAATACAGATCTACTTTCTCTGTCATCTTGCTATCAGTACTAGAGATGTTTAGTGCTGGTGACAGAAAGGTCTGTTTCAGAAACCAGTAGAAGACCTATACTGCGAAGTGCTTCCATAGCCACTTCCTTTATTTGCAGCTTTATCTCATCTCTATTGTGCTAATCTGGGAGTCAAACATCCTCATCTGTTAAATGACATAATGGGGGACAGTATTCCCTAATCACCTAATTGAATACCCTCCTTGTACATCAGTAAGAAAAATTTCTGTACCACTGCTTGCTCACATGAGATTCATGTGTAAAATTCTATATATCAGCACTTGAACTCCTTCTTCCCAGAGATGTTGTGGCTGCCCCCTCCCTGGAGGTGTTCAAGGCCAAGTTGGACGGAGCCTTGAGTAGCCTGATCTAGTTGAGAGGCGTCCCTGCCTGTGACAGGGAAGTTGGGTAGATGATCTCTAAGGTCCCTTCCAGCCGATGTCATTCTATGATTCTATGATTCTGTTCTCCCACTGTACCTTATCTAGTGCAGCACCCACAATTATAAGTTTAACTGTCTCCTTTATGCAGAGATTTATTTTGTCTAAAATAAGACTTCAGTCCATATTTCTGCTTTATCCTCACAACTTCTATCTAAATCAGTAATGACCTGTGGATTAACTCACTCTCCTGTGCCTGAAAACTCACTGGAACGTTGGACTCTTGGAGCCCTGATCATCTTTTTGTTCTGTGCGTAGAGCACCTGATACTGCTGAGAACCCTAACCAAGGCTTTGATTCCTCGGTACAATGATCAACTAAAAAAATAATAGGTTAAATATCTCTATTTTTAGAAAAATTGTATTTGTGTGCACATGAGACCAGGGACACCCTTTGTAAGGAATAACCTGTCAGCTGTTTTCCATGTGGGTTGCTGTGTAGGCTTTATTAAATTCTCATAATGTAATAAAACCAGCTAAATGATTAAGCACTGAATAAATATTGCTTCCTGTCTGAGAAAAAGATATCTCACTGTTCAAGGCCAGTCTCTCACTGAGAAGCATCAGGAACTAAATTCAAACTTCAGGGAGAAGAAGCTGAAAGGTCACTCCAGCATCTCTATCTGTCAAGGAGGCTACCTGTACTTCAGGCTGTGGTTTGGTTTGAGCTACAGATGATAGTTTTGCCTTCACAGATTGTCAAGACTGTGGTGGGAGGCAGATATCTGGGTCACAGTTTCCTCTGACTTTTAGAGGAAGGATCCAAATACTCTGAAATGAAGGCCTGACTATGGATGAAGAGTTCTGGACAGGCTGGAGAGCTGGGCAAAGGGGAACCTTGTGAAGTTCAAGAACGACAAATGTAGAGTCCTGCATCTGGGGAGGAATAACACCAGGCACCAGTACAGACCAGGGGCTGTCCTGCTGGAAAGCAGCCCCATGGAGAAGGACCATGGAGTTCTAGCGGAGAGTAAGTTGTCCATCGGACAGCAACGTGTCCTTGTGGCCAAGAGGGCCAATGGGATCCTGGGGTGCATTAAGAAAAGTGTGTCCAGCAGGTCTAGGGAGGTTCTCCTCCCCCTCTGCTCTGCCCTGGTGAGATCACACCTGGAATACTGTGTCCAGTTTTGGGCTCCCCAATTCAAGAGAGACAGGGACCTGCTGGAGAGAGTCCAACGGAGAGCTACGATGGATGATTAAGGGACTTGAACATCTCTCCTATGAAGAGAGACTGAGAGAACTGGAGCTGTTTAGCCTTGGAAGGAAATGGCTAAGAGGGGATTTTATTAATGTATATAAATATCTGAGGGGCGGATGTCAAGAAGAAGGGGACAATCTCTTTTCAGGGGAGCCCAGTAATAGGATCAAGGAATAACAGGTATAAGCTAGAACATAGGAGGTTCCACCTCAACATAATGAAAACCTTTTTCACTGTGAGGGTGACAGAGCACTGGCACAGGCTGCCCAGAGAGGTTGTGGAGTCTCCTTCTCTGGAGACTTTCAAAACCCACCTGGACGTGTTCCTGTGTGGCTGCCCTAGGGCATCTGCTCTGGCAGGGGGGTTGGACTGGATGATCTCTAGAGGTCCCTTCCAGCCCCTCACATTCTACGATTCTATGTTTTTATGAAGTACTGATATAAGTGAAGAAACAGATGAAATATGAGATCACTTTATTTGGCAAGTACAAAATTGTCCTAGGAATGCACAGACATCTATCTGCAGCCTCCAGATACTTCAAGATCCTAGAAGAGCTCCTCAGGTGTTTTTGTCTTTTACTTTACTTAGTTTTTACATGCTAGGTGATGAGGTAACAAAGTTCAGTGGCTACCCTAAGCAGCACTGCTGTTATATTTCCAACAAGTCATCCTCACTGTAATTAAACTAAATCTCAGTGATACCAGTACACTATGGTAAGGACACTGTTGCAACTTCTCTCCATTGGTTCTTGTTCTAGTAACTGGAAATGGCATGAGAAATTAACTTTTTTTTTTCCTTCTACTTTCCCCACAATCGCATTGAAAATCGATGTATTCCTGCCCTTAATTTTAACAAATACTACAAAAAAATATATTGGAAACATTGACAAAAGTGAGCAGTTACACTAGCAAACATGTAACAAGATTATTTAAGAGGAGGGGGGGAAAAAAGCAAATAAAATATATTTATAAAAAAAATAGAGTATGGATTTATCATGTACCTCTAACTTAGACTTCAACTTGGAACACTTACCATTTCTCCACTGAGTGGATCATAAAATCTCTCAAGCAGCTGGACAACAGTGCTCTTTCCACAGCCGCTGCTACCAACAAGGGCCAGAGTTTGTCCCTTTTCGACGTTCATGTTCAAGCCTTGGAGCACTTTGGCCTCTGGTCGGGTTGGGTAGTTAAATGTCACATCCCTGAATGTTATGTTTCCACCAAATATTTTCTGATTAAAACAGTAGAGTTAGGTCAGTTTTTTAGGCTAATGTAACAGATCATGAAAGACTATGAGGAACAATCATAAAAGAGATCAGGGGGAGTTTTTCCAGAGGATCAGACTTCTCTTTTTTCCCCAGGAGTTAATATGTAGTGAGAAGCTATTGTGAAATTACAAATTCTCTCCTAAATATTCCTCTCTACAGGCATATTTTAATTAAAATTCTGTTCTGTAAACACAAATTCTGACAGCTTCTTTTGTGCCATCTGTTAAACAAGATAGCATTTTGGAAAGTAACAATAACACTAGGCAGCTCACTGTTGTCTGCTTTGCAAGGACCTAGTTCAGATTCTTGGCATGTTCTTTGCTGATTTTTTTGGCCATTTTTACCCTAAAAGATAGTTAAAATAATTACTATTTTTTAATTCTGTACACAGAATCAATCCTTCTATTTAAGGATCTTTTCTAATTAATTTTCTAGAAAATGTAATATGATATATGTAATATTGACATACGCCTACACAGGAAGAAAGATAGTTCATATGAATCAATATATATAGATTGTAAATATAGACATAAGCAATTGACCAAACAACATAACAATTTGCATGTAAGGCACTTCATAAGACTTCACAGCTATTTTCCTTTATTAATGTTTATATCTCTCTCTATATATGCATATATGCACACATATACATAATAGACATGAGGTTTGTAATGTATATGCAATACTTTTATGGAATTTTCTGTCCTCTTTGTTACGTGATAGGCTACATGAACCCATATGTTCATATATATTGTTGATTACTAAAGTAGTTGACCATCTATTATGAACAACTTGCAAAAAAGTTATCCCTCAAAAATTTCCATTTAAATGTTAGAGGCCTAGTTACGTGTTTGTTCAAGATCCATGCTCAGGTAGCTCCTGCATTAACCACTGGTTCTTAAAGATGATTAACCGAGAGATAGGTGAGGTTTTTGGCAGGAGAAGGCACAAAGAAAAGCCTAGCCCAAATTTGTTTAGATGAGTCAAGTGTGAACGGGCTCACACTGTACTTGTTCTCAGCAGCTGTGATGTGAGTGGGAGGAAAAAAAAACCAAACAATTAGAGCGGTGTGCAATCCTGCGCGTAACATTGTGCTTACTTACAGGCTTCTCTCCCTCCTCACTGTAGCTATCTATTGAGGGTACTCTTTCAAACAGCATGAACAAATGAGCAGCTGACATCTTGGCTTTGGCGTAGTCTGGAGTGAAGGAAGTGCTTTGTCCTAATGCCATTGCACCAAATACAATAGCTGAAAAAACTCTGTAAAAATAAAAAGGGAAAAAAATATATTGACGTAGGCAAATGCAAGAAAAGCTTTTATGGACAGAGCAGGAGCTTCAGATAAATACTCATTTAAGAGGCTGAGGTAGGGTAGAAGCTGTCTACTGCAAACTCTGACTTTTTTCCTTACTGAGAAAATCCAGAATTTGTTTGCAGGAAGGAAAGTAGTACTCTGAGCTTCTCTTTCTTGCCCACTTGTCTGGATTTATTAGAAATGCGTATGTTGGTTTCTGTTGCTGTTCTTAATGCATGATATGTGGTGGGATATATAGCTCCTTGCAGCTCAGTTTCTTCATCTATAAAATTGAAGGTGTTAGTTGTGGCACAGCCTGAGGATTATGGAGAAATTGGCCATTCTGCATTTCCTTTGAATGGCCCTGTCTTCCAGGCACAATCAGATCCCTGAGTTCAGGAGAATAAGGCAAAAGGCAAATGGAAGATGAAAAAGAGGCATGAAATCTGGAATGATCAAAGGGCAGTAGGAGAGGAGACCTATGAGAAGGGATTTACTTGATTGTGTAGGGGAAGGGAGGGTAATGTTGATATTTGAGAATGGATTGGTGTAATCTGGGTGAGAAGCAGCTCTACATTCAGCAACACTTTTTGCCAGGCAAGACTGTGGCAAGTGCTGACAGCGAGCATGGGATGTGCATGGGAGACAACGTGGCTATGGACAAATACAGACCGGGATTTCCGCTGCAGGGGCAAAAGCAATAGACTTAGGCAGATGCTGGAGACAGGGAAGGAGGAAAGAGAAGGTTGAAAAAGTTCAAGTCAGTGGGAACAACTCACCAGAAACACACGGAGAAGCTTTTTCAGCTCTGGCTGGACATGGTCCAGACTGAGCATTTGCCAAACCTCTCTCCATCTCTCTTGTTCCAGAGCTCATAACTACCTCACCTCAGTTTCACCTATTGCTTGCTTCACTTACATTTTAATCTTTCCCACCTGCACTCTCTACAGCTAAACCCTGTTATTCTGTTGTTAAAGAAACCTTTTGGCCATGGTAACAAGGAATGACTTTGCTTTGCCTGTCTTCATGTTTTCTGACTTCTTTTTACCCTGGGCAGCCTGATTACAAGGGAACTGCAGGTAGCTAAACACAGTGTAAAAGTGTCACTTTGTTCTGGATTTGTAATAGTCTAAGGAAGAAAGGGGAATGTAAGGGTGAAGAATGGAAGACAAGTATTTATTAATTTTTTTCAGTAGTTCTATACTCCATGTTTTCATGATAACCTAAAGAAAAATCAAACATATCCTCCCACATCAACAGAAAAGAACCTAAGAGATACTTACAAAAGCACATCTTTAAACCTTGTATGTCCGTTTCTCACTAGATAGGCAGCAAACCTAAAACATCCAGCATAAGTAAAGTACATAATAGCTTGTGTAAAGGCAAAAGTAAATCCAAAGACATGTGCCTTCTTTACAGAATTTCTGTAACAGAATAAGACATATAATCACAATCACGTTGTACATCCACTTGTAGCAATCAAGAATGTGAAGAGTATCCTATAATTCAGAGGAATCCACAAGTCCTTAGTAAAACAATCTCCAGATCTTTGTAAGATCTTAACCTAAGACATCCCCATTCCTGTATGCTTCGGTTTCCCCACTGTCTACAAAACCTGATGAGACTATTGGGATAGAAGAAATTGCTCTAACTCTAAACATTTGGAGCACATACAATTTGTGTTGTCTTCACCTGGTATGTTCATTATAATTATTTTCAAAATTGTAATGCAGTTGCAATTCAAAGTTTCAACTAGCTGACATGAGGAAAATCAAGAACTTTAGAATTTCTACAAAGCAGAAATGACTTCAGTAGAACAAATCTTTGTGCTTTATCTTACATTGAATTGCACTGCATCTGAAGAAAGGGCTTGTGATTATAAAGAATTAATAAAGGCTTCCATTTCCAGAATTACAGCAGAGTTACAGAATTACAGCAGCCAATAATAACATCATGGAGACTCAAAAAAAAATAAAGTTTACCTTTAAAACATTACCTAAAATGTCAAGATCATTAGCCTGAAGGGAAAGATAGTCTACATTTTTATGTCAAATCTGAATTTGAAATGAAAGATTTTATGGTGCACTAAGAGAGAAATATTGTGATTCAGTTTATTGGTGTTAATTTATGTTAATTTGAAGAAGGATTATTTCAATAACTTTTTAAAAGAAACATACTTTTACCTATATGATGCTTGCAAACTTTGTCCATACATAAGCTCAAATTTTCTTTCCTGAGTCAAAGTAACAACAGTTCGAATATTTTCTATGGCTTTTTTTGGAATCTCTTTTGGGGAGCAAATATTTAACAAGATTATATGGAAATTTTAAACATAATCCAATAAATAGCATAACTGCAATAGAAGCATGTCTACAATACTGTTGAAAGTGTGGTTGCCACATTTGCAAGTATGCTTCTGTTAAATATATCCAGGTGGTGTGGATTATAACACTGGAGCCAAGACAGCACACATCTGAGCACAGACCAGCAATGGGATTTTATTTTCCAGTGGGCTTGTGTAACCTGTCACAAGGATAAGGCCACGCAGCTGTCATTGCTGCAGGAGCCCAGCCACGGTAAACTTCACAAGCCTGAAAATGTGCTTGGAACTGCAGGGTAAACATACGTCCACATTTCCAAAAGCAAGTAGTGGTTCTGAGCTCACCTTCACAGGGTGCATTCTCAGTGTTTTTGGAAAATCAGGACTCTTTCAAAACTCTAAAAACCAGAAACTCAAACCTAATGGCCATTCCCAAAAAGGTAGAGACCGATTTTCCTGGTTCATATGGCAGCTTGGCATCTTATTGCTCTTAATTTTATATCTTCTTGTTTGGTCACAGAAGAAAAAGTAGTTGACATTTTCCAAAAAGATTAATGGTGGTAGGTACCCAATCTTGACTGAAAATAGTGGAGGTTCGTGCCTTAATTTTCTTAATGCTCCCCGAACACTAAGGGGATTTACTTGTAGTTAATTACTAACATCAGCAAATCTTGATTTAGCCTTGGTGAAGAACGCCTCAAATCAAACCTCAAAATGTAAATCATCTTGGAAAGTGACTTGGTGAAGTATATCCATGGAGCACTATACGTATTCCAGCTCATAATTTAGTTCCAATGTACTAATTTTATGGGAAAATAAAATTAAACCTTATCCACTGTCTATAAAGTCGCCTGGGACCTGAAACTCCAGCTGAATTCTTTCCAGGGTAGTTTCACCTGTGTAAAATTTGTACACTGTGGAATCCCGCTATCTTTCTGGAAGCCACCTGGTATTTTCTGTACTGCCTCAAATCATGTAGTTATGGATTGTACCAGGAGCTAATTGACTCCATCAGATAAGTGTATGGCTGATTCTGCTCCTCATACATTTACTCTCTTTTAGCTATGTTGTTTCTGCACCGCCTTTCAATGAGAGTAGTTTATTTTCTTCTCTCATGTGTGAAGTTGGCATTCCTCCAGAGGCAGTTTTCCAGGAGGAACCTCTATTCTAAAGAGAAGTAGATTTTTACCTAGAGCTAAAAATAGATTCTTGGGACTGCTTTTCCTGTGGGTTTGCTTGGTATGTTGGGAGTGAAACATTTTGCTGAGCTGCTGTGGAAATGCACGTTTTAAATCTTGCGAGAAACTGAGGATCTGTAAATAATTGTTTTGATTAATGTATTCTGCCAAAACCAGATAATCAGGTCATCGTCTAACAATCATGTAACTGTTCTTACAAATAGAGTCCAAAGAAGTTGGCATGAGATAATGATAATCAGCTATAAACATCTTGGCTAAGAGATAACCCGCCTGGACACGTTCCTGTGTGACCTACTGTAGGTGATCCTGCTCTGGCAGGGGGGCTGGACTAGATGATCTTTGGAGGTCCCTTCCAACCTCTAACATTGTGTGACTCTGTGATTCTGTGATAACTTGAAAATATTTCAGTGCACAAGAATGCACTCAAAAAGGTTACTTGTTTGGCAAAACTTTGTGAATAATTAGTGACTGTATTTTGATTTTTTTCCCTGATTACCCTATCACATAAACAAGAATAGGTTTCTTTTTTTCAGCACATATATTCTTTAAAAAATAAATATTTAACTTCTTATTGAGATGTGTAACAAAACATGTCTAGGCTTGTGAATCATCAGACTTTACTGTAAGTGCAGAAAACACCTTTGAAGAAAACTCAGCCTTCAAGTCAGTAAGAAAAAGGAAAAGCCTAGCAGCTCTGAACAGGAGAGCTAACCGCCAAAAACTTAACTATACCCATGCATTTCTTCCTTCTCCATCATTACTTCTACACAATACGTAGACTAAATATTTAGATAATCTACAAATAGGAAACATAACAGACTAAGTAACACTAGGGATAAGGTGTTGAAATAATTAAATAGTGTGGAAAAAATAACATAGCTGCATGTAAACATTGGCTCCCCTACAACCATCATCGTTTCTTCATGTCTTATTACTAATAAGAAATTTTTGCAGACAGGTAAAGTGATTTTTTTTCTCTTCACAACCCATATCAATATGCTTTGAAGCTGAGAAGTTTACAGCTGTCTCACTAACAATGTTTAATGAATTTGCTCCAGGAAGCAAGACTGCTTTGGGCTGTTTCTTTGTTTTTCGTTAACAGCCAACTTGTGGGCTCACAGAGGTTTTCTAGTTTCACTTCTGGTCCTTGCATCACCCTCTCTTGCCTTTTCCCAACCAGTGTTATCAGCTGAGGCTGGTAAGTAGCCAGTGCAATCATTGTATGATGAGTTAATTCCCTCGAATTTTCTTGTCTAATTTTTATGTTTTTACCGGGAAGAAAATATTATTAGAGAATACTCATTCACGTGTGTCAGGGGACAACATTTTGCAGGTATCTTATGGTTTGACCATACAAAGAATCATTGCTATGTAGATATATACCAAAAGGCCTGACAGAGAAAACCAAGAGGAATTTACTTTCCTTTTATTTTAGTGCAAAAAGGGCTATGAGTAAACAAAAAATTGATTTTCTAATCAGCCTGGAGGCACAGAATTGCCTCTGAAAAACTTTATTAATATAAATCATGGAAAGAGAAACTAAGATTTGCAGTGCTCAGGCTCCTTTGTGTGACTAACCCCAGTGTGATGAGAGGGAGGGAAAGGGCAGAAAAGATCACGCAGATGCTGTGGTCCTTGGAGTGCGTCAAAAACCCAGTCCCCACAAAGCACAGTCTATCCTGAGACAGTATGTCTTGGGAAGTGAGAAAACATATCTTTAGGAAATGAAGTAACACCCTCCCTCTTTGCTGCCACACTCACATTTTCCTTTGAAGCAGATTCCCAGGATCCTGCTTCCCTTCCCAGCTGAGGGAAAGGAATCAAAATCAGAGGAAGTGATTACAGGACACAGGCAGATACACTGTTACCATGGTGCTTTCATGCATCCTTGTTACTGATGGTTTCCGTACTGTGCATTTTTATACTTTGTCAGTACAATGCGACAATGCAGCCTTTTACTTCTTTGAGGAACATATTCTTGATCTGTCACTAATATGCCTATTAAGCAATGATGTGTAGTGCAACATAAAAACATAAACACCTCTGGACTCACCTTTACCGAGATTTCCAGTTCCTTCTTATCTGTTTTTGCATGACCAGCAAGCATTTTCATTTGAATCATTCCTGTTACAGCAATAACTGGCACAATGGCTAAAAGCAGAAGAGTCAGCTGCCAACCATGGATCAATGACAAAACAATCCCAGTCCCAAGGTTGGCTACATTTTGGGCAATTAATGCCAGTCTGGAACCTGTAGCCTGGAAAAGAATGAAACCATTGTAAATTACCCTGTTTCATTTGAAAACTAGATAGGAAATATTTGTTACCTACAAAATTAAGATTTAATCACCAGAGGACATCTGGAAGTGCTTAATATGGTCTAAATAATATGCAGAACAGATGCTTTATCTTTTAAAAGACAGTCTATTGCACAGATCATTCCCTCAATTTTTCTGTATCTTACCCAGTATTCCTCCTCTGTTTCCATCTACCATCTTGGACTTACAGTTCTTGTTTTCAGGTTTTGCCCAAGAAAACACAATGACATTTCTTAAGTCTCATGGGTCTTATATGTAGAATCATGACTTCGAACTTGCCAGGGCTCCTGAAAAATGACATTTCCTAACCTAGGGTCAGAGATGATCATTTTTTTTCCCTCTGACCACTTTTAGCTTTAAGCATGTGAACAAACACAGTGCTGCAATGAGATCAGTCCTCTTTTTGAGGCATACACTTAAGCATTTTGTTGGTATTTGTGTCTAGACTTTGAAATAGATTGAATAAATAACTTTTAATAAATGGACTCCTTGGATGATTGATATATATTAATGATAAAAGAACTGAACATTAGTATGAACTAAAAGCAAAGATATGTATATAATACATAACTACTGTTACGATATTAAATTTTTGTGTGACACACAAAACATTTTTTAATAAATAAATTATATTATTTAATAAATAACAGCAAGCTCCAGATGACTCTGTGTGTAGGATTTCTAGCTATCTAATCCAGTCTGTAACTGACTCCATGCTAAGCCAGATATGAAAACCACCAGTGCCTGTTACTTACTCCTTTCACTTGTGAGGCATCATTAGCAAGTCTTGTAATCAATGCTCCAGTGTTATTTTTGGGATCATCAAACCAGCTGATCTCCTACAACATGAAACAGAGTTATTATAATCTTAAAAGCTTTAGCCTGCACAACACCTAATCAGGCTACATAAGAGAACCTAATCACTTTGGATTACAATGAGATGACACACGCGATACGGTGTTCTTTACATATAGCCGTAAACACAAGAGACGTAAAAGTTTAATAAAGATATGCGAACACAAAACTCAAACCTAAGTTGTGTTGATAATCTGTATGTCTTTTTTGCAGGAGCACAAACACCATATTATTTCGTATTAAATGTAGCTTTACAAGAAATTTTTGCTTGTGATTTTAACATTTTTGATGACCAGATGCTCACTAAATAGCAATACCAAGATATCTGCCATTTAGTGACAATTACTTGGATGAAGAACATGCATCTGCACAGAGTGCTAACAAAACAATATACTTTCTCCTAGTATAAGGCTAAAAATACATCTTAATTCTCTGTCAGTTACTAGTACTGTGAAATCTGTAAGTCTGCTCCAAAGTGGTTTGAAAGTCTGAGTGTTGCTGCAAAATTTCTGTGGTGTCTCAGAAAACGCATGTAAAATTATATGTAGTGCAGGAAGATTACTTGAGCCTACGTCTTCCTTATCTGGAAGACAATATTTTCAGGGAAAAAATTCTTGTCAATCATAAAATTTTATATCTCATTAGCAATTGAGATTAATTGGTCAGAGAAATCAGGGATTCTAAAGCGTCTCTGAAAACTAAAATGTCTGAATTCAGTGCAAAATATTTGTCTTATTTAAACCCAGGAATTAAGAATAAAGTACTGTATTCTTAAATACAGTAAGAAAAAAGATGTAAACCAGTTTCAATCTGGCTGCAGGCTCACATAGCAAGATGGCTGCTTTAGCATTACATGGTATGGAGAATGCACCACATGTGTGGGTGTTAACACACAAAACCCTCCCACGTCCCAGTGCTGGAATGCCTGATACTTGAGCCAGGTCAACACTGTTTTCACATCAGATTTAGAAAAGTGAGAAGAATGAAATTTCTTGACGACTCAGAGCATGAAAAACCCTCTGTCACCTTCAGAGTCTTTCAACGTCTTCCTCCAGGGATTGGTTGAGAGTCAGCATGGTCTTAGAGACCTCACTTTCCTTCTGGACTAGTCAAAAATTCTCACGGGACTTAATTTCCGAGGAGGTGACCTATAATCCCTTCCTGTATAAACCAGAAAGAGGGAGCATCTGGGCCCCCAGTGAAAGATGTTACCGAAAAGGAAAATTATGTGTCTCAGAATGGCTCTGGGACCTTCTCAAGGAGGGAACGACCCTCTGTGAAGACCAGGAAAACTTCATGCAGCTGTGTGGACTGAAGAAGCAGTGGCATTGCATTTGGAAACCTCCTTTTTGTCCCCAGACCTGCCGATGTATCAGACTAGCACAGCTGGCATAGAGCACTGCCTGTAGTGAGTGAAAGGCAAGGGACTGGTGTGTCCAGTCTCACATTACTCCACTTACTACCTCAAGGATCACATGCATAGCTGCAACTGGGTCAGCTGGGAGCAAAACTGAATGGAAATTCAGTGAGGGATTTAATTCATGCTGTGGATTTATAATAAGATACTGAATACCAGCATTTCCTTGAAATACTTGATGAATTGAAAACAATACTCACTAGGAAATCAGCTGGTAAAGGTAGGAGTGGTAGCAAAAGAGGGGAAGAAAGTGTCTGAGCTAGTTCTAGCTGTGCTGAAATATGAACTGGAAATGCTGGCAAGTCAGCAAGGCAGGTACCAGTGCAGGCTGTGCCTGTCAAGCAGGGCTTCCCAGTTTGTGTGGGTGCACCACACACAGCACAGCAGATGCTGAGCAGCTCGCCACTGCACCGGCTCCAGAAAGCAGCTGATGCCAACCATCATACGCTGGTGATAAGGGAGGTTACACACGCTGTTAGGCTTCTTGCTGCTGGGCAACTGGAGACTGCTGTGCTTGGATTTCAGGCTGATTGTTTTAAAAAGATTTCACTCTGCTTCTGAATGTACTTCTGCTGTCAGCAGAGCCCTGTTCCCACTCCTGGCTCCTGCCGTGGCCGTCTTTGGCTCTGTACCCAGTACACAGGGGCAGCCACCAGTTCAGTCAGTGCAGATAGCCAGGTCCTATAGCCTTCACTAGTAATTATTTGTGGACCCTAACTTATACACGGAGTTTGCTACCCAAGAACGCTAATGTGGGTTTCAGATTCAGTCTCTTACAGTACAGGCTGTTTCTCTGGTCCTCAGTCCAAAGGTGCATTGCTTTATTAAATAGGCTCAATAAACATTACCATTACCTTTGAACTTTCTTACATTTGACCTATAGTTATGTCAATAAGAAATTTTTAAAACCATTTAAAATATCTACCTGATCCTGTCATGAAAATTTAGTTCGGTCAGTTTCTAAACTGAGCTAAACCGATCAGTCTAGTATCTTTATAGATATGTTTGCAACACGACTACTTAAACATAAACACAATTTATGGCATTTAAACAAACAAACATTTCTAAAGGTCAAGAAAGCTATATATATAATGTTTTTACCTGTCTCAGGATTGCTCTAAATGTCATGGATCGAAGTCTCATTGTAAGGATTTCTCCAGCTTTGTCAAATGTGAAGCCCTGTTTGAGAAAAAAAACAAACAACTTTTTAATTACCTACTTACATTTGTTTGCAAATAAATAATCAAGCAACTCTTTGTATATAATATTAACACAAATAATAGCAAGTAAAAAATATTCTAGCTGTTAACTGAGGTAATCAAAGATTGTTAAAAGCTAAATTTAGGGTAAAGCAAAGAATGCGATGTTGTTTCTTACAAACAGGTGTATAACGTGTAGCAGTTTTCAGGTGCCACAAAACTGCATTTTAATTGCAGGACTTTTTTATCGTACCTGATTTGAAATGTTACTCCAAAGTAACAGGCTCAGTGTTATCACAAGTAAGAGCCTGTGGTTTTTTTAGGTACTGTACAGATGCCAGGGATTTCTCTCTTTCTCTAAGAGCTTACAGTCAGAAAACTGTAGTGCTACTGGTTATTTTCTACAGGAAACCTCTGAACCTGCAGATACTCACTGACTACAACACAACTCAGTGTGTGCGAAGATGTACTGGTGAAGCTGTCCCTCCTGGGCCAGGGCCAAGCAGGGTCAGGCTAGGCAGAAGTGAGAAGAGGGAGACAAGCAGACCCATTTGGCTGGAGATATAGCCAGAACAGCTATGTCACCAATTTATTCTCTTTTCCAAAGGCATCAAAGAAGCAAGAATTTTGAGGTTGGTTCTGTCTGAAGAGAGGGCAAGGGCTGGAGGTCATTTCAGAAAGGGTACCTTGTTGTCTCAGGAACATCAGGCAGAAGGTAGCAAGGTAGCGTTCAGAAGCCTGCAGATGACTGGTCAAGGCCAGCACAAGTGGCTGAGTCACAACTGAAGGGACTTTAGTTGTAAATGAGATGAGCATCAAGTCCCAAAACAAGTGAACTGATTTGTGTATGAACTTGGCAGTTTTCCCTCAATATACGTAATGCTGTGCCTTGGCAGATGCACATGCCCATGTGAACAAGGATATGTACATGGGAATTTAGACTCTGTTTCAGAAAATGCGGATCCTGCACAAGCAGAAGGATGCATCCCATGGACTGAAGAGGTGATATCATAGAATTACAGAATCATAGAATGGCCTAGGCTAGAAGGGACCTTAGAGATCATTTAATCCAACCTCCCTGTTGCCAGGGATGCCACCTGAATTATTCTTTAGCTTTCATTTTATGGACCCGTGAGTAATCTTAAATTAAGCGTATGATGTGGTCTTCTTCAATTATTTTTGTATGTTTTCTTAGAAATCCAAGGGGTTAAGGTCATGTAGGTACATGAAGAGTACGTTCTTCAGGTACCAGTGCTATCGGATTAGATACTGGTAGAAGTGTTGCACAGACCTCAGAGCACATGTTGGGGCAACTATTTACTCAAGACACATGATTCAAAACCTGATCTAAACCTGTGCTACCAGCTTCACTGCCAGTACTACCAATGCTGTCAGTACTGGGTTTTCCTACACGAGCTGTGGTGTCATGTGGGCCTTACACCCAGTCTTTCCTTTTCTGGGGAGATGGGGATTAGTTTATAGCACAGAGAACGTCTGAAACCTTGTACTGTATTTTGAACCTATCTGACAGTTAAAGTTCATCGTTATTTCTCTTGTGTACCGTTTAACGCTAAGGCACTGAGAACTTAGCACAGTTAAGTTACAGTTCCTCAAATACCGTGAACAACTGCAGTAACAAAAACTTACCTGAAGAAAAAAAGTGACAAAAGAAATTAGCCCAAAACCTAAGAACAGCAGTGCATATGTGCTATTTGTCTCACTGATGGCAGCCTCTCCCTTTTCTACAAACATCTGTAGGAGAAAATTTTGAAAATTTATTTACTTATATTACAGGGCAATAATTTCCCTTTATTGTTATATATATACTTTTTGCATTATATACACTTAAAGTGATAACAAGTCCATTTCTTGTTACACTAAGTTTCTTTTTTCTTTGAAGTTTATAGATCTGAATTGATTTTACATGTCTTGTAAAAGAAGGCTTCATTGGTATTTTGGCAAGATAAAATCAGTAACACATACCAGTGGTTGTTCATCATTAAATTATTAATGCATTACTAAATTATTATTGCAATTTACACCTGCAGAACACTGAGGCATGTCTTAAAACTCTAGAATATCATTTCTGGAGTAGCTGAAGATTATTACGTACTAACAATGACTAGACAGTGAAAGAGAAATGTGGAAACTGCTCTTAACATGATGCTCTTAATACTCTAGGACTCAGCCATAAGCATACTTCTGTTGTTTGTTTTCTACCTGTTAACAAAACACCCCCATCCACCTATTTATGTTGGATGGAGGGTCTACTTTGTTATGGAAATAATTTTCCATTTAAAGCTTCCATACACTTAACTTATCTCGACAGTGGATATATGAATATTAAAGGCATAGTATCTTCAAGCCATAGTCATACTTTTATATATATGGTAAATAAAATCTTAGTTTATGAGACAAGGACATCATACAGTTTTGATTTCACCAAGTTCATAGAGCAATAAAGATAATGCTTCTAAGTTTGGATAACATGAAGTTTTATAAAGTTTGCTTTAAAAAGTTTGAGGTCTTCACGGTCTCTAAATCTTTTAAATAGATCTTTGAGGATCTTGTATATTATTTATTGTTGCACTGTGTTTGCATATTTTGGATGTTGAATAACTGATGCATTTTTAAATTTTTAATGAAATTTAATTTACCGTTCTAAAAATTTGTCTATTGTTTGCTAAGAGTTATTCTGATTTACCTTGTCTTATACTTTGGTCTGTAACAATAAAATTTATGATGTAATTAATTAGTTTTTAATATACGTTTGTTATAAATCCTATAACACCTGAAAATATTTTTAAATGTTTTAGAGTAAAACAATGTTTTAGAAAAGAAGGACCTTAATTCTGTTTTTTCCCCAGTATATATTCTTTTCCCTTTGTCAGATTATTTTCTGGATTTATTTGGGGACAACAACTGAAAGATTGCAACTGCATAGCATGCTTTCCTTCCCTCAGAGATGTTTCCTGTTACTCTTTACATTAAAAGCTGAAGTATAACACCAACATAATACTCGTTCCCCAAACAGTTCTTTGAAAGGTAACACCTCATGTACGAGTGGAAAAAAATTATGATAGGCTATTTCAGTATCTTCCACGTAATATACTACAGTCTGACTGGCTGTAAAAAATGGTCCAGTAAACGCAAATGTAGCTGTGTTTTCATTTATTCCTTTTTCTTGTTTTGTGGTGAAAAACGAGAAAACACAATTGAGAGCCTCATCCCAAAACAGACAAAACATGAACCTGAGATTCAGCTTCCGGAACTGTATTTTTTTCTAAACTGGTTTGGAATCCTGTAACAGACAGATAAGATAATCTTTGTCTTCTACAACTCATTCAAGTAACATGGCCATATATTCTTTCTTAGTATGGCATTTGAGCACCCTGTGGCATATGGGTATATAAGCACACATAAACACATATACTCGTCGTCTCACACTCCCTGCTTGAGGCTGTGCAATTTGTATCACTGTTCTGTGAGACACTGCACAGACATTTTGCAATTTCCATAGCAAGGACCTTTGACTCTTCCTCACCTTTGCAGGGTGAATTGGAAAAAACGTATCATTTTATCGGTTTATTATAAAGGTAATTAGAAAACAATGTCAAAAGGTAAAGCATCCAACAAAGATTGTTACTTTGTTGTTTTATACTCACCCCTACAACATCTGAAATGATGACTGAAAATATGGGTTGCAAGGCCCCATTGACAATAGCACATAAAGTTCCAATAACAAAGTATGGCCATTCAGTTTTATTCAGGTCCATAATTTTAAAAAATGAAACTGGAGGTACACTTTTGTCCTAAAATAAAAGGATTCCATAAGGATAGATATAATACATTAACGGAGAGAAATGAGGGACATGTATATTCTTTCTAATATACTCCTTATCCCATATTCCATGTTGGGAAATCACAAACTAACATATCTTTAAAAACTGTATTAATTTAGCTGCATAAATTCTTACTGTTACTCTGTATCTAATACTAATTACATAAAAGAAGGCCAATAAATACTATGTAAGCTCTCATTTCTTCCAGGAGTAACAATTTGAGCTTTTCCCTGAGAAGATTAGTTACAAATCTCACTTAGTCTTTGAAGAAGAACCTCTGAATTTAAACTACTTTTTGCATTTGCTGGTATTGAATGTTAGAAGAATTGTTCCTTACTCTTTGCTGAATACGATCTCTTGCAAGTTTAGGTCATTAGCCAGCTTGATAATAATATCTTAATATTCAGAAACTAATTTTATGACACAGACATTTTAGACAATAGATAGCAAAACACTTAGACAAAAATAGTAATAATTCCCTATTCATGGTATGTTATATGAGTTATATAACTAATTATTGCTTTTGGTTTTGTTCTATAATAAAATAAATTAACTTGCTACTAAGGCTTTTCCCATACTGAAACAATTTTGTTTCATATTACTCAAGCAAACTATTTCAAGTATCACAACAAAAAGTTAATTTTATCTTCAAGGGAAAAGACTGTTTTCATAGAACCCTGGTGTGATTTTGTCAGTTTCTGAGTCTTTAACCAGACATGTAGGCTGTATTTACGCATTTTATTAAAAAGTTACTCCCTCCTGAGTGGGATCACCTTTCTTTCTTATCCGATTTGTTAAGGAAAACACATGCAGGTGTGAATACAGAGACACTCACAAGCTGAACATCTTCTAGATCACGTTCATCATTCTGTATTCTAAACCTTTTCGTGCTTTTCCGAGTGGATTGTCTTTTCTGTCCAGTCAGTAACGATCCCTTCTGTACCTCCTCTGAGACAACTGGTGTCTTACTTTCCTCCTGTAGCTGATCCTCAGTTCCTGATGCCTGAAATGAAGCAGTATGATGCTAAGAATTGTTTACAACCATATTATCCTGTGCTTCCAAATGGTGATCAATTCCAAATAACAACAACAACCATTTCTGTGTTTGAAGGGAAGATTGATAAGAACTGAGCAATGTAACAAAGCCCAGGTGAGTACCAGAATTTCGTTAAGTCCTCTTTATACTCAGTTGAAAATACACTGGCACTTACAAGAGAGGAAAACTTTTATCCACAAAGATTTTTTTCCTTATTTTTTGGTTATTAAACTGTTTTGAAAACACACAAGAGAGTTAACTAAGTTAACTGAAAAAACTCACTGAAAAGCCTCTTTACAATGAGAAAATTATATTAAAGAGCCTTAAAGTAAAAGAACCAGAAAGTCAACACAAGGGACTTTCAATAGGGGAAGAAGGGGGAGCCATGAAGAACGGGAGCAAGACTTCTAGCTGCTTCAAATTAAGGCCAGAGAAAAACTATTAAAGGAGTTCATGAGACAACTTGAGAGTTAATAAAAATATTCAAGATAGATCATGTCTGAATGACAACACTTCAGGAGCCTGAGTGCTGGTGATTTGCAAAAGTACTTGCGTAAAAGAGTTGGAGTTTTCACAATGAGGGTGGGAAGCACTGAAGCAGGTAACTTGAGGAGGGTGTGGAGTCTTCATCCCTGGAGATACTACAAACTCAACAGGACACAGTTCTCAGCCACATGCTCTGACCTCTGAGTCCACTCTGTGTTCTGAGGGGGGTTGGACTAGATGAGTAACCAACATCCTCTCCAACATGAGTTATTCTTAAATTGTATGATTTGGAAAAGTAATCTGAGAATTGGTCAGCTCCAGAACTTCATTTTACCACGATCTTAACTTTTAGTTTCTCACATGCTTTATTTTTAATGTCATGCTTTTAAAGAAACCTTTTTTGCTTAGAACACCTGTAATTCACAGCTTTGAATGAAACTTGCACAATTTGCTTATTATAAAGTTTTCTTAATAGGAAGTTCAGCATTCTTGGGGGAAGTATTTTTCCACCGAGAGGTTCTCTACTGGGGAAACACTGCAAAGCTGGAGGTACCTCTGGGAACAATTTATTTCAGTTAACCCAATAGCACCCAATATAATAAAAGCCATGATAAAAGGTTTGTGAAAAAGCTACCTGCATATTAACAAGCTTGCAGTAAATTCCCTTCTGTTCTATTAATTCATTATGAGTCCCTTGTTCTGTGATGACACCATTTTCAAATGCAGCTATAAGATCTGCATTGCGAACTGTCGACAAACGATGAGCGACAACAAGTGTAGTCCGTCCTTTCCTGACCTGGAAAGAACATCACAATGGCCCCACATTAGCATTGTCACACACATACGATACATTCCCTCTTGATATTAGAGTTGAATAAAATAATGTAACTGATAAATCTTCCTTGGAGATGATGTTCTAGTGGAAATCAAAACTGTCAACTGAGAAATGTTGAATTTCACAATATTTTTTCAGTTCCTCCAAGGTAAACAAAAGCAAAAATCTAAGTTAAATCAAATAGTGCTAAACATATTTTATTTGAAAACACAAAGGAAGGTACTCTTTCTTTTTTCATTTTGGACTATCACTTTCTAAGCACAAATATCTAAACTTTATTTTCTGAAACTGCCTCTTCAATATCCTCCTAGGTTACACCTCCAGCTTTCGCTGAAAGAAGTCTGCCTACCATGAGGCAAGTCAGTGACAATTCTATTTCAGAGCACTTCACAAATATTAAGAATTAATACCTTAGCAATTTTACTTGCTCCAAGTTGCTTGTGTGACTTAGCTGAAAATATTTAGCAAAAATTGTACTTAAAATAATCTTCCTGTTATTCATGTTGTTTTTCCATCTCAATTACTCACAAGTGATAAAATGAATACTATAAATATGTGGTTTGACATGACAGAGATATTTTTACAAGCACATTGTGACAGTGTGTGCTCGGATAAATTGGTGTTAACGTCTAATGACCCAAAAAGTGCATCCAAACTTTATATAATACAGTTTAAAAATCTTCACTTATTGTTTGGACTGCTAGAATAATGGCTTGACAAGTGTTTTAAAGTTAGGAAATGAAAGAGAAAACTGTAATGTGTGGAATATTCTCAGTGAATTTCCAGCTAAATGTTGTATCTTAATATTGTCATGTGATTTTAAGAACTGGAGATGACAGCTATTAAAACTATCCAATAAGAAACAGTAGGAATTTTCTTAGTAGCCAAGATGATGTTAAAGAGCTAAAATCACATCAAGATGTAGAAGAAAATCAAGTTAATGTCCTAAATTATAAAAAGCATAACACCCCATCCACATAAGCAGTAAACAGAGATTCCACAGATGTTCGGTGAAGTCTGCAGGGAAAAGTGGTCTGCGCTTGATCTGATGTAAATCTTTTAGAGAGGTATGCGCTCACGGCAGGGAGGAAGGGAAAAGTAGGCAGAAGGAGGACAAGTGAATGCTTGGCACAAAACAGCTCAGCTTCTTCTTGCTTAACAACATCAATCCTGGGCTAGTCTAGTCTGAACAAGATTTCCTGGCATGCTCTGCCAGAAACATCAACAGGGAGACTCATCTCACCACATGGCATATTTTAAAAACAGGTAGGGGAGGTGAGAGACTAAAGAACTTGTTTAAACTAGCTGTGTAAGTTTTATATTGCAGCAGTTAGTTGGGATCCCACCAAATACGTCTCAACCAGCAGTTCTCTGCCCTCCTGTCTCTGGGATTTGCTTTACAGGGCATGAGTTGGGAGAAATCCTCGAGTGTGCCAGATAGTGTAATTTCAGAGCAGTATGAATTATCAATAATTAGAACTAGTGGACAGAGAGTCTTTCCCTCACTGAAATTAGTGGCAATTAGGCATCAAAGTAAAAATTAGTGAAGGGAAGGTAGATTCTAGCACCTGACTCTTCCAGACACAATGCTGCACAGTGGGTAATGTAAGGTACTTCTCCTGTGGCAGGACAGCATAGGAGGCAAAATACTTTCGAAAGATATTGTCCATACATAAACTGTGATCGTTGCTGGAAATGTTGTGCAGTGGTGGGGAATTGTGTTCGCCCTGAGCTTAAGCATAGATGCATAGTGAAAGAGGCAAAGAGAGAGAAGGAAAAAAATCAGTGAACATGATTGTTTCAGCCTAAGGAATAGCTGGAACTGTTTCATAAATATTTCATAAGTTTGCTTAGAGAAGACAAGAAATACAGGACTGGCTATCTTTTAGATTTGTCTAGGTGGTTTAGAAGTTGCCTAGATGGCAGTCAACATGTAGCAGCTCCGCTTGAAGATATCCCTCAATTGGTTTTGAATTTTTGCTGGATGTTAAAAAAGAATATAGCCCACATGGATCCTCAAACCTGCCTGGGAATATTTAGGTCTTAATCCATGTAGGACTCTCCAATGCTTCAGAGACTAAAGCTTGTTTTGGAAAATCTGCTGCAGTTCAGTACAACCCATAATATAACCAACTGAATTCCATGGGCACTCTCAAAAGCACTTCACCACTGGGCAGTCTGCCTGGCCTGATAAAGGTAGTGGTGAAAAATTTCAAAATAGATTTTTAGCATATATATTTTTTAAAGCAACTCCCTAGCTATCCTCATTGAGAATGAGATCCCAGTCTTTGTATGAACAGAGAATATTTGAAAAATTCAGGTTTACCTTAAGCTTCTTACAGGTGTCTCTTTCTTGCAGTTCCTTAAACAAATGAGGAATACTGACCTTGTCCAGTGCTGCCTGCACAACTGATTCACTCTCGGTATCCAGTGCTGATGTTGCCTCATCAAGCAGAAGAATTTTAGGAT